TGCTAAAAAATCTTTTGAAGCTTTGAAGATTGCCTTAACCCATCCCCCAGTTCTAGCAATGCCAGATTTTAGTTTAACTTTTATCATTGAATGTGATGCTTCTGGTTCAGGGATTAGTGCTGTGCTGATGCAAAATGAGAGACCTATATCCTATTTTAACTTTGCATTGAAGGGAAGTAATGCCACTGTCAATTTATGAGAAGGAGCTTCTAGCCCTCACTCTTTCTATAAAGAGATGGTAGCAGTACTTATTGGGTAGAAATTTTGTGATTAGAACTGACCATCAAAGTCTCAAGTATCTATTTGAACAGAGAATTCACACAGGGATCCAGAATAAATGGCTTGCAAAGCTCCATGGTTATGATTACAGAGTGGAGTATAAACCGGGAAGACTAAACAAGGTTGTAGATGGTTTATCCAGAGTCTATGAAGTGGAAGAAGATACCCTACCATAGGAAATTGAAGCGTCAGCAATTACTACTATCAACAGTGAGTGGTTGGATGAAATCAAGCATATGTGCTCCACAGATGAGTATTTTACAGAGCTTGATACCAAATTACAAAGAGGACAATTAGAGGCTAACAGATATCACAAAAAGGAGGGAATGTTTTACTACAAGGGCAAGCTTCTGATTAGTCCTACTGCTCAAAATGTTAAAACATCCTTGCTCAAAGAACACCATGATAGTCCTACAGGAGGCCATTCTGGAATTATTAGGAATTTGCACAGATTAAGAAGATCTTTCTATTGGAAATGAATGAAAAGAGATGTTCAAAGATATGTACAGGCTTGTGATGTTTGTCAAAGGGCTAAAGGGGAAAATATAGCATCCCCAAGACTATTACAGCCACTCCCTATTCTAGATTATATTTGGGAGGATCTATCTATGGATTTTATTACCCATCTCCCAAAGAGTGGAAACAAATCTGTTATTTTTGTAAATGTTGACAGATTATCCAGATATGCTCATTTCTTTCCACTTTCACACCCCTACACTGCTCAGTCAGTAGCTCAGGTTTTCTTTGAAAGGGTATTCAAGTTGCGTGGGATGCCTAAATCTATAGTCAGTGATAGGGATTCTTTGTTTACAAGTTTATTTTGGAGGGAATTGTTTAAACTACAAGGAAGCCAACTGGAATTTAGTTCAGCTTATCACCCACAAACTGATGGGCAAACTGAGGTCACTAATAAAAATCTGGAGAGTTACTTGAGATGCTTTTACTGTCACAAACCTAAGGAATGGAGTAAGTGGCTGTCTCTAGTTGAATTTTGGTATAATACTACATGAAAAATCTCTACACATTCTACTCTTTTTGAAGTAGTATATGGTAGTCCTCCTCCTTTGCTTTTATATGGTCCCAAGAGTTGTAAGGTGGAGGCAGTAGATGAAGTTCTCTTTTCAAGAGACATAGCCTTACAATTCATTAAATACAGCTTGAAGACTTTAGCTGATCAAATGAAGAGATTTGCTGACAGGCATATAAGCTACAAGTACTTTGAAGTGGGGGACTGGGTCTTCCTTAAACTTCAACCATATAGACAAATCAGTGTGTCTTCGTACAAAACTCAAAAGCTTTCTCCTAAATTTTATGGGTCTTACCGGGTCCTAGAGAAGATTGGTGAAGTTGCCTATAGATTGGGTTTACCTGATCAAGCAAAAATCCACCCAGTTTTCCATGTGTCTCAATTGAAGAAAAGGATTAGAACTGATGTTATTATTCAGGTTGATTTTCCTAACTATGTAGCAGAAATTGTTGATGAACCTGAAGCAATCTTGGATAGAAGGTCAGTTATCAAGGGACACAAATTGGTGTCTGAAGTCTCATCAATGGAAGCAACACAACTCTCTGGATTCTACTTAGGAACCATATTAGGACATGGTTAAGAGATTCCCTGCTTTTGACCTTGAGGCAAGGTCCAATTTAAGTGGGAGGGATTTGTCAGGTGCTGGAAGTCAGCAAAGAAGGAGGTTGAGACTTAGGAACCTGAAGAATTGGCCATCGAAGCTGAAGACAGGGTTGTAGAAGCTGAAACTAAAGATTTGGAGAAAGATGGACTGATATGCAAAACCCTAGACTGATATGCAAAAGACCAAGGCTTTAGGACAAAAGCTGTATAGTGTAGGGTCTTATATGTAATAAATGGATTCACTAAGCTGTTAGTCTGTTATGTTAATTCAGTTAGTTTGTTAATTCAGTTTTGCACAATCACTGTATGTGCACGTGCACAAGCTGAATTCTCAATTGGAAGCTGTATAAAAGAGAAGATTGTAAAGATCAAAGCTTATGAATAAAATTAGTTGTTTTCTCTCTTAATTCTCTCTCCCAACTCTATTCTTCTCTCAATTCTTCTTTTATCATGTTCTCAAGTTCTTATAGTTCCAGCCATGGCCAGAAACAACAATTTGAGGATCAACCGAGACTCTCGAACCTCACACGATATACCTGAGAAATTAAAAGAAACCCTAATTATGATCGTTTATCAAAAGCCCTAAAAATATCATTGATGTCATTAACATAATTTAACCCATGAATAGTATAATTTTGATCTCAATCAAATTTTAATTTAATCTAGCTAAATAATTTAAAAATTATAATCTAATCACAATAGTTAATTTAATCTAATGAAACAACAAAGATCGGATTCTAAACATGCTCTGAGACCATCAATTGGAAAGAGGATATACAACAACGCCAAATATACATATCGTGACTATTTATCAAAATTAGAAGAATACTTCAAATATTTTTCGATCTTGCACAATGCTGTGTCACAATATCTACCTGAAAATCCCAAGATTAATCTAAAAAGCTTCCTCAAAAGAAAAAAGCCTCCAACTAAAATCTACCCGTCAGTAAAAAAGAGTAATATAAAGAGATAGGTTTTTAAAATTTACTATTCTCTTTTTTCTTTTTAATTTTTTTATATTACCTTCCTAAGATTTTTGTCTATTCATAAGGCTACATATGAATCCTATTTATAGGATTGAACTAACCTTATAGATAACAAATTCCAAAAGATTAAAAATATTCATAAACTGAACCCTAATGGTTAAGGATAGAATAAAACTACACTATATTTATACTTCTTCTAATAGCATTAGTGAGGCTAATTGGGTCCAATATCGTGAACTAATTATTAATTAAATTAATAATTTTAATTTAATAGTCAAAACTCTATCTGACCAACTATTCATAAAAGCTTTTTCATAATATGAGATACATTGTTTATAATTAATATTATTTATTATTCAATTCCCTCCAGTATTAATTTACTTTAAGCAACTTTATTAAATAGGATAATTCACCTATTTGCTTATGCCTAAAATGACAATCCCATGATCATAAATAAAAATTATTTTAAAATATAAAAATATTTTATTTTATAAGAAAATAAATTAAAAAAAAAATTTCAAAATCATCTACTAGTGAAATTTTAATAACTTTATGAGATTGCATAATAAATTAACTTATCATAGTTAGAATGCTAGATTCTATCTAGATATCTATTGTTTCACTAAATGAAACTAGTAACCAATGTTTCAGGCTATATAACGCTTCCTAAACAATCTTAATCATCAAATCAAAGCATCACAAATTATCAAATTAAAAAAATATCATTAAATCACAAGGCCCATGTAACTATTTAAAATCTCTAACTCTTTAGTGACTCATCATAGAGAATCCGAATGGGGTCTAGTGCTACACACATCACAATGTGTGCTTATAACATGCACTTAGGGGGTGTTTGTTTAGTTGTAAGTGAGTTGAAAGTATGAAAGTGACTTTTTTTTGTAAGTGGGTTAACGTATCCAAGTCAGCATACAAGTGACATTCATTGTTTGTTTATAAAAACTAGTTATTGTTGAAAGTAGTAAAGTGAGGATGATGTGGCAACATTATTTTAATTTAATTATATATTAAAAATCATGTTTTTATATAAATTGCTTCTCGTCTCTATTTATCATTTTGAACAATATCTAGGGCCGACATCATTTTGAACAAAAGCAGGATAGCTTACTTTTACTCGTTCTGAGGCCGGCTTAGCCTTTTTCAGCTTTGTTATAATCATGTTCTTCCTTCTTATGATTTCTTCCAACTCTGAAATTCTCTATTATGACGAAGAAATAAAAAAACATGCTAAGAAAATGATCTACTGGCTCCCCCATACTCGGATGACTAGAATTAAAGGCCTCGACCTTACACAATTCTTTTCCAGGATCCTGTAAAAATATCAAGCTACAAATGGGCATAAATTAGAGGGAAGGGGAAGGGGATAAGGTTGATGAAGACGAAACAAATTAATATGATTATTAATATATGTGTTATGAAATTTTTTTAATGTGACGTGGGTCCCATTTATTCACTTGCGTCTCACTTCGGCGAATTTTTAGCCGAAGTGGAACTTGCAATTTGATCCTACGTGGATAATTTTTTGAGGTGACTTTCATAATCACTTTCAACTAAACAAACAAGTTAAATCTAAAAAATAAGTGACTTTCATACTTAATTACATTTTTCACTTACAACTAAACAAACACCCCCTTAGAGAATCCCCATTCCCGGTGGTTGACACCCACTACCACATCTCATATGTCGATATCATGCATAATAACATATTATAATGGAGTTATCCTTTACTGTTGTAGGCTAAACACATGTTTTAATTTTTAAGTTATATCAAATCTTCAAGTAAGTGATCATCACAATGCATTGATCTTACAAAATAGATCCTAAGAATACTATAAAAATTATAGAAATAATACCCAACTTATATTTGCAATAATTAAATCTATTAGTACTTAATTAAAGAATATTAAATAATTTGCATTGGATATTGAAAGGCATATTATTATAACTCTAACAGAAACTTCTTCTTGAGAAGTAATTTATTCATCACATCTGGCCATTGCAGTATTAATATTAATCTCACAATTTTTTGTTGAGATATTTGATGGGAAATTTTCCTGTTGTAAATTAATCTTAGAACACTCATGAACTTGATAAAGACCACAACTCCAACAAGTAAAACAAATTTGTTATCAATCACACTCCACCGAATCCAGTACACTCATTTTAATTAATTATTTCACGTTACCAAACATCAAAGCTTCTCGTATGCATGCGATCACTAATGACCGACTGTTGCTATTTCAATCTTTTTGCTGCTCCAACACCTGAACCTTTAATGCCTAACATCTCGACCTCATTATTGCTCATCGTCCCTTGCATATTGATATCCTCGTCCACCGTCATCGCCACAACTTGCTCTCCGCGTGGCCCCGGGAGCACTGTTTCATGAACATGAACATGGTCCGTAACGTTCACAGCATCATTCTCTTGCACCATCTTCTTCTTCTTCTTCTTGAGGAAACAAAACAGAAAGGCAGCAAGGAATGCGAGGAAGAATACCCCACCAAGTGAAACAAACACGATGATTACGATGGTATGGTTGGGGGTGGGCGGAGGAGGAGCGATGTGGGGCGGTGGTGGGATCAAGGCAGGTGGCGGTGGGGCCATTTTGCGGGGTGGTGGTGGTGAAGTCACCTTGGGTGGGGGTGGAGGAGAGGCGCGGTGAGGTGGCGGCGGCGG